GACTCATCAGGAGGCTGAACCCTCAACAATCTGCAGAATCCCCTCACTGATTACACTGTAAATGATAATCTACCTTAACCAAAATCAAAGTAGACTATCACTCACCCACACCAGATGGAAAACTCTACAGACCGTCGGTTCACACCCCATCACAAGCCATATATATATATATATATATATAGATAGATAGATAGAGAGAGAGAGAGAGAGAGAGATGCGTTTACTAGTAGTACACAAGGCGCGGGAGTAGACAACAGGGAGGAGGACAAGAGAAAATTTTATATATAAGAGAGAGAGAGAGAGAGAGAGAGAGAGAGAGAGAGAGAGAGAGAGAGAGAGAGAGAGAGAGAGGGAGAGAGAGAGAGAGAGTGTTCAATAGGCTCTTTATACACACTGTTGGAGCAGAGAGAGAGAGAGAGAGAGAGAGAGAGAAGAGTGTTCAATAGGTTGTTTATACACACCGCTGGAGCAGACGACTATAGAATGACACGAGAAATCAATCAGTGTTCGGGTTGCAGGATGAGGAGTAGCTGTTGCCTATGGTAGGTGACCACTCCTGCAGACCGGACAACACCGATTTGGGTGCGGACTGTGGAAGCATCGCATCCAATTCTCGCAGTTGCAGTTGCTGCAACGAATGGCACGACGTAAACAGATATCACAGGCAACATGGCTCCCACAGGCAAGGAACACASAGGCACGCCGACCGCAATTGTAGAGGCATTCCCGTTCGAGCCCCTGTCTACAAATTGGACATGACATGTCAGGGTGCCGGACGTGAGTGCAATATTTACTGTCATCATACGTATGAAAACAGAAAGACGCACGGGCTGTGCCTTAATAATCCTCATGACACAATGCATGTTGCCCACATGCTAGCCGAGTCTCCGGTGGATCAGCACAGAACGGCATTGAGCAAGTATTTTGAGTTTCCTCGGCATTGATTCCTTCTCTATGGACTGACGACGACAACGACGACTGTGGCAAGAGGGGGTCATCCAAAACAAGGGTGTCTAGCTGCTGCAGGATTTGTTCTGCAACAGTTCGTCCTGGTGGTGTTAGTCCTTCAGCACAATGCTCTATCGTTGCAGACACTTCGTCGGCGGAGGCGCTCCCCGTCTCCACCACCGTCTCCAAAACAACGACCTCGTTTATCCATGGATGGTATAATCACTGCGCCCCCTGCAGGGGTTCGAGATCTGCTCCGACGCCATGCCCGCAATCGTACAGAACGACGGCGTCGCGCTCAATACACACTAGCCCGGAATAGTGCATGTCGAGTTCGATGCCAACAATGTGGTGACGATTTCTTCAGCATTACGGGCCTGCGTGCGCATCAGACAAGGGGTGTGGCCGCCTGTGCAGCTTTTGCAAGACTGGCAGCCACCTTAACTACAAGTGCGGCTGATCACCCTCCATTACCTGCATCTGACCCACCTATATCTCACCCACCCATTTCTCCCCCGCCTGACCCCGCATGTTCCCTAGCCCCAATAGTCAATGACCGGCCTTCTGATCATTTGATGGAGCCTCTGACTGGAGATGACCTCTCTCCGGAGTGTGTGCTAGAGCCGATGCAGTTTCCACAAACGGAGGAACCTGATAGAAACGATCAATATCACATTGAATCTCCGCCTGCCATGCAATCCACAGAACTGAATGAACTGCCCCCTGCTGCACAACCAGCAGAATCATATGATCTCATAGTGCTGCAGCGAGGCTATTGTGCGTACTGTGCTATCAATGTAAGTCTCCTCGCTTACAATTGTAACCCTTACACAGTTTCTGAATTTGCTGATATTGTCCGCTAGATAGAAGAAGAGCACCGTACTGTCTGCCCAGAGGATGACAGTACTGGTCCTGGAGTGAACATAGAGGTCTTGTCTATGGCATTTATGGGTAGAAGACTACAACTGCAGCCTGCTCCCCAAAACCACATGCCAGACATGAACCCAAATATCCGCGCGTACATCCTGCATCGGCCAGGACATTTCAGCGCTGTAACCTATGCAGACAATTCATGGGCCTTATGGGACAATGGAGGTAGGGTGCACACGGTAAGTATCATTAACTCTTTCTATAACCAAGTAGCAAATACTCACTCAATTTGGATTGTCCTTCAGGTACAATACGCTACTTCGCACCCACAAGCGCTTCAGTCTCTGGAGAGCAATCCGGATGTGCAATTACCTCCTTCCCCTACACATGACCAGGCAATGTCCCCTCCCTGTGTAGATCGGGCACATTCTGCTCTAGACAAAGAAAGAACCTCCTTAGAAGATGATGGTTGTGCCCTTCCATTCTGTAGCCACACAGCCACAGTCCGGTTAGCATGCACAGTGCATAGTCTCTGCTCCGAACACTATGAAGGGATGGTCACTGCCAGCCTCTGTCGCGAAAACTGCGACTCTTCGTCTTGTGTTCATCCCTCCCACCCCCTAATCACCTGCCCAATATGTCGTCGTGGCCTTAATCTGCCATGCTTAAATAGCTGCGAACGTCAGCCTGCCTTCCTGCTGACATGTCAGCAACATGCCATGTGTCATCAATGTTTCCAGGAAGCTGTCATAGAAAGCATGTGCCTCTACTGCGTGGACTATCCACAATGCCATCATCCACCACATCCTCTCTTAGCATGTCCCACATGCAGAGTTGGGCGTACAATTACTGCAAACGCCATCGGATCTCCTTCTTTCCTGCCCGACGGACAGCAAACTCAACAGCCTGAGCAGGAAAATGTGTGTGTGTGTGTGTGTGTGTGTGTGTGTGTGTGTGTGTGTGTGTGTGTGTGTGTGTGTGTGTGTGTGTGTGTGTGTGTGTGTGTGTGTGTGTGTGTGTGTGTGTGTGTGAGAGAGAGAGAGAGAGAGAGAGAGAGAGAGAGAGAGATTAGGAGGTGTTGCTGCAATAGGTCTTGTCTTTGTTTCACTATTTGCTTTACCTTTTATTAACACTTCATATGTACGAAGTTCAACTTTTAGACCCATTCATCAAAAACTTTTTTGGTTACTTGTGGCAGATTGTTTACTTTTAGGCTGGATTGGATGTCAACCTGTGGAAGCACCCTATGTAACTATTGGACAAATTGCATCAGTTTTTTTTTTCTTATACTTTGCAATTACGCCCTTTCTTGGTAAACTAGAAGCAAAACTTATCAAAAATCATTGTGCATAGCTTTCATTTTGAATTGAATGTCATGCATGATATGTACCAATTACCCACCCGTTCGGGTGGGGTTTCAATCTTTCTTGTTTTATAGTACGTGTGATAAATTGAGAAGCGGCTTGTTTCATTTTAGAATTACAAAGTAGTAATGTACTATCTTTATCCCCTCCAATGTACTACCTGAATCCCCTCCTTGGCCTACACCTTAACTAACTCACCAAACAGCCAGTCCAGGCCCACTATTTGCCAGGGCCTATAGTCTCCACACACTACTGGACACCGGCGCTCCACCCCACACGGAGGCAAATGCAGAACGCATATCATTCCACTTGACTGTGGCAACAGGCAAAGACATTCCGTCTAGCAAGCCCATCCCCTCTTCAGTCCGTTTCGCATTTCACATTAGCGCTGAGCTCCACTGATACGACCAAGTAGTTGTCGAATCGTGTCAGATGGAAAGATCAGAGCATAAGATTGAGGCACGGGTGTCTCTGGCATGGAAGGCTTCAGGAAACAGTTTACCAGATAAATGATAAATGATAAATTCCCAAACCTGAAACAATTCCAAAGTTCCAAACACTTGGAGAGGGGTGGGAGGATGGGAGGACTTATCCAATACAATCCCATGCAGTCTACTGCCGACGTTATTTGGAAGGAAAATGAAGCGAAGCTCCGGCTTCACATCCCTTGGGAGGGGACCTATGACACACAGCCAGGCTCTACAAGACCTACTCGTGAACGCCAGGAGGAAGGAGGGGGGTGTGCCTGAAGGTGACGCTGTTGTGAGGATGAACACAAGCCAAATTCTGCAGAAGGCATGCCAGATGGCACCCAAGTTCAGTGAATCGAGGTCATGATTTCATCCCGTACAGATGCTAGCATGGACATAGGATGCTAAGGGTGGGAATGGAATGGGTGTTGGCAGCATAGACAGTCATGCGGTTTGGAGATTCACAGGCCAAGCTTGGGGGAAAGCTGCTCGAGTGGCAGAGCACGAAGCTGGTCATGGCCACTCTCAGGCTCGAGATGCATAACTAGTCCTGCTGCCATGCACCTGTTTGCGTGTACGCCCCCAAGCGGTGAGTGTGCCTAAATGCATAACTAACCCTGCTGCCGTGCACCTGTTTGTGTGTATGCCCCCAAGTGGCGAGTGTGCCTACACCGAGTTACATTCTAAGTTCTAAGTTTTTCTAACTGAGCCAAATTTTGTGCTTTTTCAACTTTTGTGCTTCCAAACCAGACACAAAAGGGGTATTCCTGTCCCTTGTTGCCCCTAAATAAATTATGAGAGTGGAGCATTAAGACTCAAAAACAGGAATGATACCTGGAATTGATATAAGACTATGAATGTTAAATGGTAGTATAAACTGTATAACACTATTATGCCACTCATGATTATTCCTCCTCCAATCATCTATCCATTCATGACTATTCATCATGATCTGCAGTTGCCACAAGATGAAACTGACACACTTTCGACGGACGACATATACGCAAGGCAAAAAGGTGCTAAAGGCTGTAGCAGCAGCACCTGCAATTGAACAAACTCCTCTTTTAGCAATGTGTACAGCACCTCTCTTGTATCCTTGATGGGGATCATCGCCATCTCTGCAATCTGCAGAACAGTAGAAACTCTTGCATAAGTTGACGGCTTAAGACGGACAAAAGAACACATCCAACCTCCAATAACTGCAGCCCAAACCATGGTACTCGGTGAGTTTGCAGTACATTTGCATCTCCAAATCACACACAACAACCATGGCAATTATCATAGTATCACGTAAAATCACAGCCTGATCCAACCACATCTGATCCTGTGTAAACAAACTGCATCCCAATTTGCGTATATGTGCGTGTCTCGTCCGACCATCAACATCGTCTGTCTGTATGTCTCCTCCCCCCCCCCCCTTCCC